TCTGTTAATTGTGGTTGCATATTTCAATGTCGGCTAGGCCCTACTAATTATTGGAAACTAAGGAAAAATTTTATACTATGATGAATATGAAATTATGCTGTGAATCATGCTGCCTAGTTAATACGTGCCAATAATTACATACTAGGAGCGTTACACAACTTATTTCATAAGATGAAAGTATAAAAAGTTGAAAATGGGCAAATGCCATGGGGTCTAAGGTTTGATTACCAGTAACTTGTCTTAGCTTGTAATCAAATCCAATCCAATGGTAGCTATAGATATGATGGCAATTACTGACGTGCACTATGGCCCTTGATGGGTATCACTCAATAGTCACTTAAAGATTTGAAATAGTGAACCAAAAGGTGTTAATTTGAATGGAAAAGATTTAAAAATTTGAATGAAATTTAATTAAAGTTTAATTGAGTAAGTATTTGATAATGTTAATTATAGTTCGAATGTCTGTATATATGTTTTAGATATGTGTATAGTAGTAGATTAAAGTAGTTTTATTAATTACATGTTCCTAGTCCAAGCGATATGTTGAGATTTTCAAGTTGAAAGGCTCTCAACAGATCGTGAAATACTATGAATGTTGTGTCTAGAAAAAATTCTCTGAGGAGTCAGTTGACTTTTATAGCACTACGTGCGGCAACACGTGTTGAGGATCCCGCCGATGAAGGGTACATTGTACCTAACCAATAGGGAGCCAATCATTTAAGACTTTTATATATTATGAGTTTTATTTATGTGGTGCTAGTGGAATAGGCCTATTAAGTAATTGGTTGGACTAAACATTTAAGTTTAACTCTTATTCCACCAATGTGCCTATATAAAGCTTGTATTGATGTGATACAAGATACATGATTCATTATATGGTACTCATACTGCTCAGAAAATATCAATACACCATCTAGGGTTTTGAGTCAAGTATGAGACAACACGACTAACCATATTCTGCAGATCTACTGTTCAAGAGGCAATACAACAGGATATCAACCATGGCTGGAGATCTACGTACCGTGCTTCCGCTTCCATTACTACGAGTTAAGTTTCTCGTAGATTATTCTCTATATAGTTAGATCATATTTAGATCTCGCATTTGGTATCAGAACATTTATAATCTCTACCTGGTTGATTGTTTTTGCCTAAAAATAATATTAATTTATTTCATATACATTAAATTTTTGTATATGAATATTTGGACTGCTGAAAATTAGTATTTTTAGTATTAATCAATTTTAATTTTGTTTTTTTTTTCTCTATCGGCGACGGAGTTTTTCAAAAAATAAAGCTTCAGTTTTTCCGGTCGCTGTCGACGATGCGGCTAGTGTTGGCTCCGGTCGATTTGCGACGTTTTTCCCTCCGGGCGCCGGTTTCCATGAGCAACAACGGCTAGCTTTACGTGGGCGACGGCGGGGTTGGTTGTTGTCGTCGCGACTTGGGGTCGCCAGCGGCAGACCTTTTTTGGCGTTGCAGCAAGGCACGGTGGTGGCGCCTGGTTCATGGGTGACAACTCTGACGAAGGGTGATGTTGACGGATTCTTCGCTGTGAACTTTGCTGCGAGGAGGACATTGCCATGGACGTTTTTTCCCTCTCCGGTCGTGCTGGATTTCTGGTTTCTGGTGACGCTGGTGAATCGACTGCCAGGAGTTGAGGCGTTGCGGCATAGGACAACGGCAAACACTGGCGGTGGGCGGCGGTGGCGGGCATTGCGACGAGGCTGGGTTTTTTCCGGCGATGTCCTGCTTCTCTCTCTTCCTTCAGACAATGGATTGTCGTTGTTTCTTCCCTGCAGGCTGTGGACGGTGGCGCTGCGTTGGAAGAAGACAGCCGAAGGAGTACTACTTTGGTACATTTCCTTAAAAGAGCAATTTACCTTTAATTCATTATTTTTACCATATTTAATTGCTTTAGTTAATATTACATATTAATTAGGATACATGGTAATTATTTAGTTTCAAATTGCCATATTAATATTATCTTAATTAATATTGTAGTTTGTTTTGGCAAATATGGTAATTGCTTGCTTGTTTTTTTGGATGTTGTTGTTTAATTTAAGATATAATAATCAACAATACAAAACAAATCCTATACAGCTATGTTGATTAGTTTATGCAGGAAGGAGTACTGGTACATTCCTTATCAAAATGCAATCACCTTATTTATTTTATTTTACCATATTAGTATTTGCCTTATTTTATATTAATTTTGGTAAATGATAAATTATTTAGTTTAATATTACCATATAAATATTACCTCAATTAATATTATATATTATTTTGGTAAATGGTAAATATATGGTAATTGTTTGTTTTGAAATATTAATGCCCTCTAGTTTCCTCTTATTTTTGGCAGTAAATTCATAATTAAATTATTATTCAATTTTGGGCATTTTGGGCAAATATTAAGTTTTAAATTTGCTATTTGAATTTTAATTTAATATGGAGTAATGGAGATGCATATTAAATTGCCTGGAGTATTACAATTTATTTAGGATTTATGGGTTATTATATATTAATATGTAAAAATCCAAGCATGCTATGTATATTCATAAATTATTTTATTATAATTGTACATTCATAAAGGCATGCATTAATGTTGGATTAACATATTATTAACTCATAGTCTCTATATTAAATGTCATTCAATTTTAGGATCCTTAGGCAATATTTGACATTATGGTCTATTAAGACAACTTGATAGGTTTCTCATTTAATTGAGCATATTTTAGTCCTACGTCTGACTTAGAACTTTAAAACCTATTTTGAACAAGTTATTTGTGACCTATCTTGGGTCATTAAGTTTGGATCCCACTATTTTTTTGATTGATATTTTAATAATAATTATAGCTATTTTATTTTAACTTATAACTTGTTTATTATTATAATAATATTGATTATTATGCATAACATATTCACTAAGTCTTAATTATTACTGACTACCATATTTTGTTAATGGTATTCATGGTTGGTAATAATATTAAGTTTGGATATATTTCAGTACTAGACCATTTTATATCCATGTCATAAGTCACTTGGACCATTGAGTTTATGGGTCTATTTGAGTGATTAAGTGCTATAATTATTATTTTAGGTCTATTTATGAGCCATTAATAATTTAAGGATTATAATTGTTATTTTGGCCAATAAGAATTACAACTATTGTTTAAGTTGATTATATTTTTTTTAATCTATCAATAGTTTTCAGGGCCTTAATAATAATATTAATTCCTTTAATAATATAGTAAGCAATATAGTTGGTATATTGCATTTACAATGGTAATTTTTTTATTATTACCTTAATTTTAGTCTCCCTAAAAGATATTATAGTCTTGATTAATTATTATGTGGTAATATGAGATTAATATTCGATATCCCCTTAATTACAGTTTTGCCATTTATTAAGTTAAAATTGGCATTATTAATTACTGCTATTAAGTTTAGGGGCTAATCTCGTATATTAATTTCATAATGATTATTATTGCTTGGTAATCTATTATGTTTGAAAAGATTACCTATTTGGTGATTATTGTTACGTGACGTTGCATTGAGGTTATTGACGATGAAGATGAGAGAATTCTAGGATTTCTAGCACTATGGGAGATGCGGTTTGCATCATTAAGGTTAGTCATTAAGTTTCTATCATTATTTATTGGTAATTAGTGCTATAGTTATAGTTTGACTGCTATATTTTTTTGAAATTGCCACATTTTATTTCCTTAAGAAAAATGGAATCATTAAAGAAGGTATATAACCATACTTTGGTTGTTATTACCAAATATTAATGGTGATTATAAGGTTATTTATTACCATTAATATTTTAATGATAACATTATTATTATGGTTTACTAGTATTTGCACCCGTGCGATGCACGGAATGAATTTGTTGTAATATAGTAAGAATATATGAATCGATATATAATTATTTAAATTAGAACATCAAATATTATATAGTGCAATTAAAGATATGGTTTGCACCGTTTATATATTTTGATGTTATTATTGCTTGAATTTGTGCAAATAATTGCTTAAATTAATAGCTAATGTCTAGATGTACACATACGGTGCTATAACTTTGAAGATTTTATTTATCATTATTTAGTATTTTCATAAATTAGGCAAATGTGCTCGTTCTCTAACAACTCAGTTATAGAAATGAATTGGTATCCTTATTCATTTGTATGGAAGATATATTTTTTTGTCAAGATATATAACAATTTTTTCATTTAAAAAAAAACTTAATATCACCGATTATATTTACACATTATTGAAACCTATTTGTAGACGATATTGGTAGTGACAATGCAATCTTGTTCATCTTCGTCTAGAGCTAACACCTTCAATCCATCAGGATGGGTTACTTGGGTTAAAATATATAATGGTAGAATATTACTAAATTAGTTATCCTTTTATATTTTCAGTCAATTAGTGATATCAGATTCATTTTTAGCAAATTATTCTTTTTTATTTTCAGTCAATTAGTCAATTAGAATATCAAATGCAGTGATATTTTTACCTAATTTTCGTTCCATTTTTAATTGATGATGTAGATATTATTATTGAAATATTTTGGTTTCATTTTTAATTTACCTTTACTATTGTTTAAAATATACATTTAATATTTTTTCCTCAAATTTTTAATTTTCATTCCATTTTTAATTAAAATGCAATGATCTGACCATTTTTTTTAGTCAATTATGGATCATTTTTTATTTGCAGTCAATTATTAATATTCATTTCATTTTATATTTTCAATCAATTAGTAATATTAGATTCATTTTCAGTCAATTATTGTTTGTACAGTCAATTAGAATATAGATGTAATAGTGATATTTTTACCTAATTTCTGTTACATTTTAATTTGATGATTTTTAATTTACATTTATTATTTTTTAAAATATGTCTTTACTACTTGATGATGTAAAATATTATTACTGAAATATTTCCTTTCCATTTTTAATTTTCCTTTACTTCTAAAAAAAAAAAAAAACTTTGGACTTCTCACTACTTGCCCACAGTGATGGGCAATCAATTATGTTCGTAAACATTTTCAAGAACTCCTCTTTCCAAACATTTTCAATGTGAGATTAAAATGATCCCACATCATTCTTCTTATTTTTTTTCTAATTTTAATTTTAGTTTGTATATTGTTTTGTTTGGATGATGATGATGATGATGATTATTATTATTATTATTATTATTATTTGATTATTGACGATTTTTTTTAAAAAAAAGTGAGATTGACAAATTCACCAAAATTTTAACAAATTCGTCATTTTAACAATTTATCTTTAAGCAAAACACCAAAAATGTTATTTAATAACCCAATATATTTGTTCTAAACTGCTAAAAACTAAAACAACACATACAATTTTGATTAATCTTTCCCAACACCCACTAATAATAAATAAATAAATAAATAATAAATATTTAAATAATAAATAATGAATAAAAACTAAAATAAGAAGACAAAGCTAAGGTTTCTTAAATAAGAACCTTTTTACTTCTCAATACTTGCAACATTGATGAGCAAACAATTATGTTTGTACATCTTATATAGAGGAGCTCAAGAGCACATCTTTTCAAACATTTTCAATGTGGGATCAAAATAATCTCATATCATTTACAAAGGGAGCATGTGGGTCCCCTTTGTCTTATTCTTTTTTTTTTGTTAATTTTAATTTTGTTTTGTATATAGTTTTGTTTGGATTATTATTATTATTATTATTATTATTATTATTATTATTATTATTATTATTGTTGTTGTTGTTGTTGTTGTTGTTGTTGTCGTTGTGTGGTTGTAATTTGATTATTTAACAAATTCGCATGTTTAACATTTTATATTTAATCAAAACACCAAAAATATTATTTAATAACCTAGCAATTTGCTCCAAACTGGTGAAAACTAAAACAATACATATACATTTTTGGTTAATCTTTCCCAAACCGCCTAATAAATTAAAACAATTTAAAAAAAAACTAAAATAAGAAACCACGAAGATAAGGTTCATTAAATAAGAGCCTTTTGACTCGTTGGGCTCAATAGGTTGAGAAAGTTTATATGAACAGATATTATATGTAACAGGGTCAATCGAATAGTTATGATGTGGAACTGTGTCCACCTTGCAAGGTGGACACAATTCTATCTTAATAATTACTGAACTATATGTTCATAATTATAAAGCTATATATTCATAATCTTTGAACCTCATATTTATAATTATTGAACTCTATATTCACAATTACAAAACTATATGTTCATAATTACTGAATTATATGTTAATAATTATAAGCTATATATTCATAATTTTTGAACTTCATATTCACAATTATTGAATCTCTATATTCATAATTACATAACTGTATGTTCATAATTATGTTCACAACACTATGTTCATAATTATAGAACTATATATTCATAATTATGACAATTTAAAACAAATTAAGGTTCATTAAATAAGAGCCTTTTGACGCCTAATAAATTAAAACAATTTAAAAAAAAAAACTAAAATAAGAAACCACGAAGATAAGGTTCATTAAATAAGAGCCTTTTGACTCGTTGGGCTCAATAGGTTGAGAAAGTTTATATGAACAGATATTATATGTAACAGGGTCAATCGAATAGTTATGATGTGGAACTGTGTCCACCTTGCAAGGTGGACACAATTCTATCTTAATAATTACTGAACTATATGTTCATAATTATAAAGCTATATATTCATAATCTTTGAACCTCATATTTATAATTATTGAACTCTATATTCACAATTACAAAACTATATGTTCATAATTACTGAATTATATGTTAATAATTATAAGCTATATATTCATAATTTTTGAACTTCATATTCACAATTATTGAATCTCTATATTCATAATTACATAACTGTATGTTCATAATTATGTTCACAACACTATGTTCATAATTATAGAACTATATATTCATAATTATGAACAATTTTAGAACTGTGTCTACCATGCAAGGTAGACACAATTTCACAGCATAATTTGCCGGGTCAATAGTACTCAAAAATAAAATAGGAGCTTTTGAACTTCTCAATACTTGCCCACATTGATGGTCAAACAATTATGTTTGTAAGAGGAGCATTGCTCCTATTATATAGAGGAGTTCAAGAGCTCATCTTTCCAAATATTTTCAATGTGGGATCAAAATGATCCAACATCATTTACAAAGGGAGTCCGTGGCTCCCTTTTGTCTTCTTCTTATTAATTTTAATTTTATTTTGTATATCGTTTTGTTTGGATGATGATGATGATGCTATTATTATTATTATTATTATTATTATTATTATTATTGATCAATTCGCCAAAATTTTAATAAATTCACCATTTTAACATTTTAACTTTAATCAAAACACCTAAATATATTATATAATAACTCAGTAATTTGCTCCAAACTGCTAAAAATTAATACAACACATAAATTTTGGGTTAATTTTCCACAACCCCACTAATAATAAATAAAAACTAAATTAAGAAGACAAAGTTAAAGCTTCTTAAATAAGAACCTTTTGACTTCTCAATACTTGCCCGCATTGATGGGCAAGCAATTATGTTTATATAAGAGGATCATTGTTCCTCTTATATAGAGTAGCTCTCTCTTTTCAAACATTTTCAATGTGGGATCGAATTTTGATCCCACGTTATTTACAAAGGGAGCCGGTGGCTCGCCTTAGTCTTTTTTTTTTTTTTTTTTTTCTTTTTCTTTTTTTTTTTTGTTAATTTTAATTTTATTTTGTATATAGTTTTGTTTGGATTATTATTATTATTGTTGTTGTTGTTATTGTAATTTGATTATTTGGCAAATTCGTCAAAATTTTAAGAAATTCGTCTGTTTAACACTTTATATTTAATCAAAACACCAAAAATATTATTTAATAACTTAGCAATTTGCTCCAAACTACTAAAAACTAAAACAACTCATATTGTGGTTTTTTTTTTGAATGTTACTGGCCCTATTACATTGTAGTATCTGTTCATATACTTTCTCAACCTACTGAAACACAAAGAACCAATAAACGCCTCCACTAAGGCTTGAACTCGTAACCTTTCAAATGGAAGTCCAACCCGGGTACCATTAGACCACATAGTCTTGGTATATACATTTTGGGTTAATCTTTCTCAAATCCCCTAATAAATTAAAAAAAAAAAAACTAAAATAAAAAGCCATTAAGATAAGGTTTCTTAAATAAGAGCCTTTTGACACGTTGGACTTCAATAGGTTTGAGAAAGTTTACATGTAACAGGGTCAATCGAATAGTTATGCTGTGGAACCGTGTCCACCTTACACAGTTCTATGTTTATTATTACTGAACTATATGTTCATTATTGTAAAGCTATATATTCATAAGTATTGAACTCTATATTCATAATTGCAGAACTCTATGTTCATAGTTACTCAACTATATGTTCACAATTATAAATATAAATATATATATATATATATGCATAATTTGTTAACTTCATATTCACAATTATTGAATCTCTATATTCATAATTACATAACTATATATTCATAATTATGTTCACAACACCATGTTCATAATTATTAATTATTAATTTTTATTGCCTAATACAAATTGTCAATTATAACATATTATTTATGGTAATTATTGTATGCCATGTAATACTAAAGTTGTTAGGTAGAATTTTTATAATTAAGGTATAATATTATTAAATTAAAATTATTAAAAATATATAGATCCACATTAATAAAACCTTATTAATTTTGAATATTAAAACTATATATTTAAATCCATATATTTAGATTAAAGTTGAAGTTATAAATAATTAAGTTTCAATAAGTTTATTTATTCCCTAAATTATATATGAGTAATAATGAATATTTTTCTATATTAGATTATGCTTATATATAATTTACTCGTATTAACGATCACTATATTAGATTAATATATAATTCTTTTAATATATAATATACTATATTATTAAATCTAAACATATGATTAATATTTATTCAATATTATTACGAAAGTATTACAATTATAAATTTTATTATATTTTAAATGGCTTAGCATATCGAAGCAAACATGGTAAGTCAATAACATTATTTCACATTAGAAAAATAATATGTATATATGTATATATTTTACCATATTAAAAAATATTTTTTATTCAGTTGACTCATTTGTGAATTTGTTTAAAATAAAAACCGTGTAATATTGGCATAATATTATGTCCATAATTAAGTAGTATATTCTGACATATTCTTCTACAATATGTATTAGCATAATTAATTATTCCATAGACTAAATAGTTTTAAACCATTTAACTCATTAAGAATTATCCAGTATTACATACTTATAATTAGAATATTCATTACCATATTTTAAATATTTTTGATTCAATTGACTCATTAATGAATTGGTTCAAAAAATTCCATTTAATATTACCATGATAATATGTCCATAATTAAATAGAATATATTGTGCATTATTCTTCTCCATTTTGTATTACCATAATTAATTATTTCAGAGTGTAATTATTTTTTACTCAACTGACTCATTTAAAATTATCCGGTGCTACATACTTATAATTAAAATAGCTATTACCGTATTAAAAATATTTTTTATTAAATTGACTCATTTATGAATTGGATAAAAAAATTCCGCGTAATATTAGCGTATATCAATTTTCAAAATTAATTAGTCTATATTCTACCATATTCTTCTACAATGTCTATTAGTATAATTAATTATTCAATAATCTTAATATTTTTTATTCAATTGAGTCCTTTTGAATTATCCGAAATTACATACTTATAATTAGAATATATATTACCTAAATTAAAATAATTTTTTATTCAATTCCTAGTACATACTTCAAAATCTCAATATCTCATTGCCTACATATTTATTTGTATATCGGTAAAATTACAAAAGTGCTAGTACGTACTTCTTCCCATATATATATATATATATATATATATATATATATATATATATATATATATATATATATATATAATG